AAGGCTCAGTCTTCTCCCTTTGCGATTGGAACCAGCCATACTTATCCCGCTGATCCAGCATCCTACAGCCCCCTGTCTAGTCCTGCCACATCTTCTCCAAGTGGGAATGCCTATTCCAGCCTAGCTAACAGAACAGCAGGATTTGGTAGGTATGAAACTTGGTATAAACTCTTGGAAGTACAAAAGGAAATTTAGCTGCTGTTACTGTGAAAGCGCCCAACTATAATTGCCAGAATCCTCAGTTCCTGACAGTTTACAAGATTACTGCTGTTATTCTTTCTCATTTTCATCATCATCTTCCTGCTACTACAACTATATTAATCTTTGGAATGTTCATGTTTGGTGGCACTAGAAGCACAACAAGCTTTAAAATAGCCAAACAGGCAGGCCAACAAACAGACCAGCAGCTGAAACAAGAGTGAGCCAGTGGTTCAAGGGCCAGTTATGTTTCCCAAGACCCACTGCAGGCCTCACCATGCCTAGAAATGCTAAATATATGGCCCTGTATTTTAGAACAAAACCACTCCTGGATGCTTCCAAAACCAGAAAAGGTTTAAAAGCAGTTCACCAAGGAGAGGAGCTGCAGGAGGACTTGTGAGCCACAAAATCATCCTGGGGAGGGTCATACTTTTCTCACCCACGAGCTAAAGTAGTTAGTTGGTAAGCAAGGAATGTAGACCAACTGAAAGCAACCTGATCTGTACTGATGCAGATTGTCCAAAGTGAAGGGTCAGTTTGTAACTGCAGTACCATCTTCTGCAACAGTTAACACTAGGTGGAGTTAGGTTAGGACATCCATACTCATCTATGTCCCTTACACATATGGATGTGATTTTTCAGGTGCTGCAAGGATTAGTATTTCCATTCTTTCTGTGCAGTGCCCAAAGCCTCTCTCCTGACTTACTTTAACACCCCAGAACCACCTCATAGAGGCATTTCATGCTTCAACATGAACAGGAAGTATCGGAGAAGTGTGGCAAACTCTCCCCAAACCAGACACAGAATGATTGCAGAGGCACTCAGACCTCCCTTAGGACCCTCACAGATTTCATGTTGTGCATCCAGCAATGGAGAAGGTGAGTAGCCAGACCTCTGTTCCTGCCTGTTCACCTTGAAGCACAGAATGCCAACATGGGGTAGCTTGGGGGCTTTACAGTAAGTCAGGAGGAAGATATATAGGTCAATGTAGCATAAGGTCTGCATATGGATCTTTATACTACACTGAGAGGATGTTGAATTGAGGCTTAGGAGTGAAAGTGCCCAACTATAATTGACAGAATCATGGTTCCTGGCAGTTTACAGGAATTCTACATCAGCTATTATATCTGGCCCCACAAGTGCATCTGAGCCTAAGGGTTAGTACCAGTCTAAGGAATTTTGCTGCCAGAAGTAGAGCAGCAAATAGCATCCAATTAGGTCAGTCATATAGGGCCTTTACAGACTGCCAGAAATAATGCAGCTTGCGACCACTTTAACTGCCCTGGCTGAGTGCTGGGGAATCATGGGAACTGTAGTTTATTGTGGCACCAGAGCTCTCTGACAAAGAAGGTTTAATGTCTCAGAAAAAAACTACAATTCCCATGATTCCCTAGCATTGAGCCAGGACAATTAAAGTGGTCTCAAGCTGCATTATTTCTGGCAGTCTGCAAAGGCCCATAGTTACTAAAGGAGAGTTGTTTTGGCACAAGGCAGAAAGTCTAATAAGTGCCTCCCCCAGTTGTTTGAGAGTATATTTTTAAGTATACTAAATTAAATTACTGCCCTTCTAGGATATCCAAAATCTGCTGCAACCACTTTACCCTGCTTAATGATAGCTCTAGTCTTGCTAAGTTTGGCTGCATAAATGACAACCCCATCATTTTATTTAGTTGTCTCTGTTTTTTAAGACAAGAAAGGTGTCGGGGAGCAGCCAAGGAAATAGAATGACTGGATCCAAAGCACCAGTCTATAAAATTGTCTAAAGGGGTAATTGACAAGTGCAGATTATCATACACGGGTGCAGAAAGGCAGCTCTCTCAAAATTCTGTCTTCTGTAAAAAGTTATGTTGCATGCCTGGTTGGCCTGAAGAGAGAGGGAGGTGAAAGGGAATACAGGTGGTACTAGCTGAAAGGTGGGCCATGTGTAGCTGTTTGGGAGGCTTAAAATTGTGCCCTGGTTCTGAAAATTGTCAAAACCCAGTGGTCTCAAAATATTTTATGGCATACATTTAGCATCAGGCCTCTTACATGAGATGGTTCTGGAATGCAGAGTGTCCAAATTCCAAAATAGATTCATCTGATTTGTCTGTGCTCACATGTGTAGACAGGCAATCTCACAGGAAATAACTCTAGGAAATAAGGATGTTTCCTAGAGCTGTGAAGAACACACACTAGAACAGGCAAGATTTCAACAGAATGGGAGGAATTAGTTCAAAAATTGCTGTTGTCTGCAGTTGGAGGAGACACTGTTGAGAGGGAAGGGAAACTTCAATTAATGTATTTTCATGTCAACAAACTTGGAAAGCAATTATCTTAAGCCCAGCAAGTCCAACTGATAATTCAGGACAGGCAGTGAATCAACTCTAGAAGTCTGAATGTAAGTGCCAGGAACAAAAGGTGAAGAAGGATCGCTTAAATTCCAAAATGCACAGTAAGCAAAAGGTTTGGGTTTAAAAAAAAAAAAAAAGTTACACAAGGAAGAGTTCAAGTATCAACTGAGATTATTTCCATGTGGACAAGTCTTTTTCTTTGATTTCATAAGACTTTCAATCAGTCTCCTAAATTGATCCTTTATCAAAAGAATGATAAACAGTAGTGCCTTCTTAGAGAATCAGTGTGGTTCAGTGGTTTGTGAGTTGGACTGAGATTCCAAAGGGCCAGATTTTCATTTATGGGATTTATATCCCACCTTTCTCCCAAAATGGGATTCAAGGCAGCTTACAATAATTTAAAAAGATAAAACTAAAACATCAATTACAAAAGTTAAAAAAAATTAAATAATGTTAATGTTAAAACATAAGTTAAAAACAGCATGGTTTAAATCATTTAAAAAGAAAAACCAATTATTCTTGGACAAGTTACTCTCTCAACCTTAAAGGAAGGCAAAGGCAATAATCTTCTAAATAAATCATGGCAAGAAAATCCCATAATAGGATTGTCTTAGAGTTGCCATAAAACGGAAGTGACTTGAAAGCACACACACCAACAACAACAAAAACAACAGTGTCCTCTTAAGCTTTTTGTTCATGTGCAAAGTCAGGATTTGCAAAGACACACAGAGATGCAATCCAGTTTATTAGTAAAATTTCTCTCTCTCTCTCTCTCCCCTCCCCCCCTTCAAGTGACCCTAGGTGGCTCTGGCCCTTTCTGTTTTATCCTCACAACAAACCTGTGAGATAGGCTAGGCTGAGAGAGACTTGAGTGGCTGACGATTACCCAAACAGTTTCATGGCTCACTGAGAACTAGAGCCTGGATTTTCTGAGTCCAACACTCTAGTTTTGTCTTCTTGATGGCTACCTCTAAGCCTCTGCAATGGAGACTTGTCAAAGACCCAGCCTATGCATTTTCTAGGAAATGTTATATTCAACTTAACTGACCTATCCAGGGATGCAGGGAAAGACAATGAGATGTATAAACAGGGTAATGGCGGTGACAAGGCAGATTGTCCCATGGGATTTCAGACAGGAGAGCATAAACAGTTGTTTTGTGTGTATGCTTTGTTTAAAGGGTTTTTTGTTGTTGTGTGCCTTCAAATCATTTCTGACTTATGGCAACCCTAAGGTGAACCTATCATGGGATTTTCATGGCAAGATTTGTTCAGAGGAGATTTGTCATTGCCTTCCCCTGAGGCTGAGAATGTGTGACTTGCCCAGTGGATTTCATGGCTGACTGGGGAATCAAACCCTGGTCTCCAGAATCACAGTCCAATACTCCAACCACTGCGCCATCCTGGCTCTCATTTAAAGGGTGCCTGGTTATTGTTGTTGTTGTTAACTATTGAGCTTCTACACAGAAATATAGGACTAAGATTGCTCCTACTTATTCCCATGTTTAAAAAAATCTATATAGTTTACATCCACTCTGTAATTTCAGACTAGCAGGAGTAATATATTTCACTTGTATTTAATTGTTTGTAATATTTAGGTCCTCTCTTTCAGTGGTTTTTCAGTGTTCAAAGTAGCTTTTAAATTTAAAAATTTCAAAGAAACAAGGAAACTGTTATATATAATGCATTAAAAAAAACAACCTCGTTGTATGAAGCATTGCTATGAGTGGTGACTGAAAAGGCAGGCTAAGACTTGTGTTCATATCCTTCTCCAACCATGACCTCACGGTGAGTTACAATGCCTTAGCTTTGTGAGTCACACAGGGTTCATCTATATGTCTTTTTATTATTTGATTGCAATTCTGTTGTGCTTTTATAATGTTTTAAACTGAACCTTATTATTTGAGCCAGTGCTCAAATAAATTTGATTTAACAAGATATTTATCAAATATTTTATAAATTGATAAAATAATACACAAATGATTACAGCCTCAGGTCAGAGATGCTATGCAGCAAAGTCCATCTCCCAGGTGTTCCTTAGGAACTCTTCAGCTTTTCCCCTTTGTTGGAGGCCATGGCTTTGTATGTCACGCAACTTCCAGGTAGCCATGAATTAAACAAAACTTAATTTGGTGCCTCAGGTGTGGTAGATTCAGCCACGAAGACCAGGAGGTGGACTGTGGTGGGGACACCCTTTAGTCTGCCTCAGCCAACAAAAAGACTTGAGCCAATCATGAACTTGATGGCCCTTGAGATCTGTTTTAACCCAAGAGAGGCAGGAATGAGTATTTTGTTTGGAATAATAATGCAATGAGGGAGGGGGTTTAAAAGGAATAAAAAATGATACTCTTGTAACTTTGGGCTTTTTATTCTTTCAGCTGAGAGTAGCCAAAGCAGTGGACAGTTTCAAGGGAGGCCTTCAGAGGTGTGGTCCCAGTGGCAAAGCCAGCACCATAACCAGCAGAATAGTGACCAGCACCCACACCAGCAAACAAGCCAGACAGAAGTGTTCCAGGTGAGTCCAAACACCATTGCAGCAGTTCATGCTGCAGAAAAATCAATGCCATTCCCAATCTTTAAGGGGCCAGAACACAAAAACATTCTGCAGTCCATTTTCAAGATTATTTCATTCGCACAAGTCAGAAGAATCAGTAAATAGACTTTTCTGGGTGAGGTGGTAGGACTTACATCTATGTAAGGAAAGGAAAGATGACAAAATAAGCTTTGCCTAAGATAGAAAAAGAAGGAAAATTACATATCCATTTATTTGTTTTTATCTTCTAGGATATGTTACCCATTCCAGGCGATCCAACACAAGGAACTGGCAATTACAACATTGAAGATTTTGCTGATCTGGGCATGTTTCCTCCATTTTCTGAATAATTTATCTAGCTAGATAACCTCTAAAAGAATGTTCTGGGGAGTGAGGAGAACCCACACTGGTGTAGGTTTGGCTCTGCTTTTTCTGTGTTAACTGATCATAGAAGTATTAAACAAGAATATCCATTCTCATCTTTTAGAGAATAACTTGCTGTCTTTCCAAATGCTGATAGTGCAAGTTCTAATGAAATAATTAATGCTACCTGTTTGGGGTTCATGTAAGGA